TCTTCTTCAGTTATTATAGCTTGAGTTTCTTCCTTCTGTACCGGTTTTAAAGGCGTCAGCTTTTCTCCGGCTGTTTCAGGTACTTCGATCTTCTTTGGTTTTTTAAGTGTTATCTTTTCTTCAGTCCATGGTTTGACCTCTTCAGGTTGTTTAGGGGAGATTTTTTTGGGTTTAACTTTTTCTGGAACTTCTGTAGGGAGCTCTTCTTCCTTTTTGGTCACTACTTCTTCATCGGCCTTCACTTCTTTCCTGCGCCAATGTTTTACTTTCATAGGTTTTTCTTCTGCTTGCTCCGGAGTTTCCGAAGGTAATTGTTCCTCTTCAGTTTTGATAACCTCTTTTTCATGTTCTTCACCGACCTTTTTACGCCAGTGTTTAGTTTTAGGCTTTTCCTCAATAATTTTCTCCTCCGAAATTGTACCTGTTGGTTTAGTTTCTTCTTCAGTTATTATAGCTTGAGTTTCTTCCTTCTGTACCGGTTTTAAAGGCGTCAGCTTTTCTTCGTCTGTTTCAGGTACTTCGATCTTCTTTGGTTTTTTAAGTGTTATCTTTTCTTCAGTCCATGGTGTGACCTCTTCAGGTTGTTTAGGAGAGATTTCTTTAGGTTTAACTTTTTCTGGAATTTCTGTAGGGAGCTCTTCTTCCTTTCTGGTCACCACTTCTTCATCGGCCTTCACTTCTTTTCTGCGCCAATGTTTTACTTTCGTAGGTTTTTCTTCTACTTGCTCCGGAGTTTCCGAAGGTAATTGTTCCTCTTCTGTTTTGATAACCTCTACTTCATGTTCTTCACCGACCTTTTTACGCCAGCGTTTAGTTTTAGGTTTTTCCTCAATAATTTTCTCCTCCGAAATTGTACCTGTTGGTTTAGTTTCTTCTTCAGTTAATACAGCGTGAGTTTCTTCCTTCTGTACCGGTTTTAAAGGCTTTAGCTTTTCTTCGTCTGTTTCAGGTACTTCGATCTTCTTTGGTTTTTTAAGTGTTATTTTTTCTTCAGTCCATGGTTTGACCTCTTCAGGTTGTTTAGGAGAGATTTCTTTAGGTTTAACTTTTTCTGGAATTTCTGTAGGGAGCTCTTCTTCCTTTCTGGTCACCACTTCTTCATCGGCCTT